TTTCAATTTTTTTAAAAATGGCATATTTGACTCAAAATAACGCCCATGCGCGTCTCAAAACAACGCGCCCGTATCCAGCTAATAAAGCATAAATTAAATATACAAAAAGAAGAAAAAGTAAAAATCTAATTACTGGTATGAACTTTTTAATATAAATTATCACATATCCTTCTACATATCCCATCTCAGCATATTTTTTGTAATGAATTAATGCCTTGTGTTCATCCTTTTCTACACCGATCCCATTTTGATAACAATACCCAACATGTAATATTCCATCAGTATTTCCCATTTCTGCAGATTCTTGGTAATTAGCGAATGCGTTATGTTCGTTCTTTTCAACTCCAATATCAAAATGATAACAATAACCAAGACTAAATATTCCTTTAACATTCTTCATCTCAGCAGATTTTTGATAATAAATGAATGCATTATGTTCGTTTTTTTCAACCCCAATTCCATATTGATAACACACACCGACATTAAACAATCCATTAGAACAACCCATTTCAGCAGATTCTTGATAATGGATGAATGCCTTAGTTCATCTTTTTCAACTCCAACACCATTTTGATAACAATATCCAACTTTAAATATTCCATTAGCACCTCCTAATTCAGCAGATTTTTGATAATAAATAAATGCCTTATGTTCGTCTCTTTTAACTCCGATGCCATTTAGATAGCAGTTACCGAGTGCAAGCATCCCATCAGGATCACTCATCTCGGCAGATTTTTGATAATGAATGAATGCTTTTTCTTCATCCTTTTCAATTCCAATTCCATTTTTGTAATGATATCCAACATTAAATATTGCGTTAGCATTCCCCATATCGGCAGATTTCTGATAATGAATAAACGCTTTATATTCATCTTTTTCAACACCAATTCCATTTTTGTAACAATAACCGACATTAAACAATCCATCAGAACAACCCATCTCTGCAGATTTTTGATAAAGAATGAATGCTTTTTGTTCATCCTTTTCAGTTCCAATTCCATTTTGATAACAAATACTAAGACAAAATGTTCCATCGTTATGCCCCATTTCAGCAGATATTTGATAAAAATTGAATGCTTTACGCTCATCTTTTCCGATTCCAATTCCATATCGATAACAATTCCCAAGTGCAAACATTCCGCTAGCATCACCCATTTCGGCTGATTTTTCATAATGAAAGAATGCTTCACGTTCATTCTTTACAATTCCAATTCCATTTTTATAACTTGATAAATTCCTTTAACATTTCCCATCTCTGCAGATTCTTGAAAATAAAAAAATGCTTTATGTTCATCCTTTTTAATTCCACTTCCATTGAAATAGCACTTTCCAAGGAAAATATTTCATCAGAATCATGTCCCTGATTTCCTTCAATGTCGATTTCAGCGAGTTCTTGATAACTATTGAGCGCCCTATGTTCATCATTTTCAATTTCTGATAGTATTAATAAACTATTATTTGTTCATTCTTATTTTGGTTATTTTCTAATTGATACAGTAACATTAAATAATTATATGCAGTATAGGATTAAATCACAATATCGAAATAGAACAAATACATATTATAGATGTGACTATTACCTAATTTATTATCCGTGATACTTTGTGATAAAAAATCAAACCTTCTACTAGTGTAAATTTCTTCGGAATACACCTTTGGATGAGATAGGTTGGATGCCAAAACTTTTTCAAGTGATTCATCAGCTTTTGTCATTTGTTCAACGAATTTAGTTTGTTTATCGTTTAAGATATCATTATTCCACATACATATTGTGTCATATATCTCTTCAGATGCTGGTCTTTCAGTTGGATGAGAATTCCAGCATTTAATAATTAATTCAGCAATCAGCTTTGGTACTTGTGTTGGGATGCTTGGACGTAAACCAAAAAAATTTTGCGGATTAAATCAATTTCACGCGTATTCGTCGAATCAACATTATGAGAAAGTTTATATGCTTGGAAACCAGATGCAATTTCATAAGCCACGATACCAAAGGAATATACATCAGACGCCATACTATATTCACCACTAAATAATACTTCAGGTGCTATATACGGAATTACTCCATATATTTTATTTTCTGTTCCTATATTGGCTAATGTTGAAAGCCCCAAATCTGCAATATATCCACTATAAAAATTATTTAGTAATATATTGCCACTATGCAAATCTCTATGAATAAGGTTTTGCGAATGGGATTATCGCAAGATCTTTAGCAATACAATTTAACAAATTTAACTTCTTTTTCCATTCCATTTGTGAGATATTATAAAGATTTTTACGTAGAGAACCCATTTCTGCATAATCCATAACGAGAATATAATCTTCAGAATATTATCTTTTGATATACCCAAACATTTTAAAAAAGTCGGATTTTTCAGACCAATATAACAATATGCCTTCAGCTTTTTTGGATGGGTAAAATATAATTAATTTTGTAAAAAAAAAAAAAAGTTTGATTGAAAAATTACCTTCTTTGTTATAGTTTTTGGATTCATAAAGTAATTTAAGAGCAACAGTTTTTCGAGACTTTTAATCAACCAAATAAGCAGAATAAACTTTTCCCCTATTTCTTCGATGTCTTCAAATTTATTATAATCAATCCATGGTAATTGGTGTTCATTTTCATTAAACATTTTTCTCAAATAATTATCAATATCAGAGTTTACATGCACTCGTTCATTTGTGACTACAAAAATGTTGTTAAAATTTTTGAAATACTTTTGAAAGTAAATAAAAATAAAAGTTACCTGATATATTTTTTTTCTCCCTAGATTTACAAGATAATAAATTAATAATACGGTATATATAATAAACAAATATTTTAAAAAATAACCCATTTACATTTGATACCAATAATCAGCTTTTTGCAGATCTCTTGCTATTCCAATTCCATTTCGATAACAATAACCAACTAGATACATTTCATTTGCATAACCCATTTCAGCAGATGTTTGATAATAAGTGAATGCCTTGTGTTCGTCCTTTTCAACTCCAATTCCATGATGATAACAATAACCAACATTAGATATACCTCCAGCATCTTCCATATCAGCGGATTTAAGATACCAAATAAATGCTTTATGTTCGTCCTTTTCAATTCCAATTCCATTTTGATAACAATAGCCAACATGAAGCATTCCACTAACATTACCCATCTCAGCTGATTTTCGAAGATAAGTAAAAGCTTTTCGCTCACCTTTTTCTACTCCAATTCCATTTTTATAACAATATCCAACTTTATATATTCCATCAACATTCCCCATATCGGCGGATTTTTGATAATAAATAAACGCCTGATGTTCATTTTTTTCAATACCAATCCCATTACCATAACAAATACCAAGATTAAATGTTCCTTCAACATTCCCCAATTCGGCAGAAATTCTAAAATTAGTGAACGCTATATAATCATCCTTTTTAACTCCAATTCCTTCAGAATAACAAGTACCAAGATTAAACGCACCATCAGCGTTTCCCATTTCAACCGATTTTTGATAATAAAGAAATGCCATATGCTCATTATTTTCAATCCAGTTACCAAAACGATAATAATTTCCAAATTCATTCAAGCATGAACTAATTATATCATTTCGATTTTGGTTTCTCTTTACTATAATTTGATCAATTATGATAAAAATTTGTATTATATTTTCAGTAAACTTTTTACGTAATTCTTTAATATAATTGTAAAAATTTTCCATTTTTTAATACATGTAGGAAATAAATAAATAAATCAATGAAAAAATACGAGAGAGAATTAAATTTAGCGAAGTGTGTATTGTACTATTTTATAAATCAGAAAAATGGTTTAACGATAAAAAGTCAATGTGGAAAGAGTCATCGTGTCTATTTTATGATTAGTTGGACCAAAAAAACTAGGTTCAATGATCAAACAATTTACTAGCCTTTATCTGATGCTTTCTGAAGACTGCTTATACCTACATAGACCCTGGATATATGAAGGCGGTGTTCCTTCGATGTGTTTCTCGAAGACCATTTTTAATATCCATAATTATTTATAATGCAAGCTGATATGGTTTAAACCATCCTTAAAAGGTGAATAACTACTAGATATTTTCACCATAAGAATACCACACAATATATATCAGTTTTTTTTTTTTTTTACTAAGTTTTAAATGTTTCTTCAGCTTCTTGATCCTTCAAAACTCTGAGCGATTTTTTTGAAAGTTCAAATTCTGTAAGCTTGATGAACACGTATATTAATATACTATTTAAATGTTATTAAAAATTATAAATATTAGGTTTTATTAGTCCGGAGCGAAGCGGAGAATATATTTTTACGTAAAGAGTGATATGTTTTGCTGCAACATCACGTGAAGATCGTCCAATTAAATTGCGGTCCCGCAGTAATTGTCAGCCGACTTTTGAGAAAATTTATAAAAAATTGGCATTTTTAACCGGTATTCTTTCAATAAATAGTCATAAAAATGATTTTTCTGCAACATTTTCCGAGGGTTTACTAATTTCTCCCCAAACTTCCGATTGGACGAATTACAAATATCGTTTTTCATTGGACGAAGCAAATTACATCACCGATCAGGGTGGTTAAAAATTTCATGTAGCCATCTAATTAATAAAATATTATTTCGCAATGATTACATATGATCAAAATTTTTTTTTAATAATTCTTTTCGCTGTTTAATACTAATGTTTTTGCTCTTTTGATTTTTAGCGCTTTCAAATTTTTTAGTAAATAATTCGTGTGAACGATAAATAAATTTTCTCATATTACTGTAAAAATTTATTGTTACATGTAGAATTTTTAATTAAAATAAACATACCTACTTTAAGTCACACTGCTATACGAAAATCTGAAAACAAAATAAGCATTAATTTTTTTTGTTTTTTTAAGCGTATGAAAAAAAAGTTTACTAATCATTTAGCAGTAAAATTTATTTCAGTATTACTAATTAGTAAACTACGTAGCACCTATTTCAGGGTTACTGTACGATTTCCGAAAGTTATTTTCCAGAAGATTAAATACTGAGTAATTATGAAATTATTTCCTTTCTGGAAATGGCTTTTCAGAACTTGAGTTACATTATTGTATTAGTATTGAATAAAATTATTGATTAGCAATTTCAGTAGCATTTTATTGATTTGCAGTATTGTATCAGTATCAATAAAAATGAACTTGAAACATTTCAAATGTTCGTGTCAATTATTTTTTAAACAAAAGTAAAAATCGCGGACCAGAAAATAGTTAAAGAATTTTTAATAGAGTATTTTAAATTTACAAGCTTGTAAAACGTAGGTCTAGCAAAATTTTATTCTGTTGAAAATATAGCACCAAACAAAAACTTTATAAAAATTTTCTTGGTTGTATCAGAAGCACTTATTTTCGTTAGTGTTTTAGATTATTTCGATTTTTTTTTTACAAGCAGAAAGAATTCTGGAGGTGCATAAATAAAAATAAAATTAATTTTGTGGCGTGATCTAGTTTATCCAATTAAAGACGGGATTTCATGCGTCCAATCACAACTTGGGAGAAAAATTAGGACAATAGAAGTTTATCGGTTTTTGCATTGGTTTTTGAGTAATTTAGGTGGGCAGATTAGGGACCGAACAATGTGGAGCAAATTTAGCTAATCGGTCCCATTTAAATTACTCAAAAGCTAATGCAAAAACCGATAAACTTCTATTAGAAAATGTTATAAAATCATTTTCAAATGCCAATTTTTTTATAAATCTTGCTCATAGTCGGCAGGCGGGACCGATTAACATCCCTAGCTTTGGTGCTTTACACTTACTAATTTCAATGGATAGAATAATTGGGTTTAATACGGAAAAAAATACTTGACCAACCAATGATTGTGTAAAAAGGTACTTATTGTCACGGGGTTAAGCGTTATTTTGAATAACGAAATCTATAACGTTCACTCGCTTATTTGAGTATCGCCAAGCGAAAATCAGGAATTGTGAGTTTTCCGAAATTAATTTTACAGATCTAACCCCAAAAAATGTAATTTAGCACACCATATGATATATGTTGTGCTTAATTTAAATTTATCAGGAATCGGATCAGAAAGCGGAGCCGGCAAAAATTGCAGGTTTTCGCTTGGCGACACCCATTTATTTTGAAAATGATACTAAGCAAGAGTTTCCTTATTAGGGTGATTCAAGCCTAATGCTCATGGTCAAATTAAATTAGTGACGTAATTATTTTGAAATCAGTGATTCGTAAATTTTATTTCAAAAACAAAAAATGCTACTCATTTCATCTCCGAATATCACCTATTTCATTTTCCGATTTCAAAATTTCAAAATAGAAATAGAACGTTTTAAACTCCTATATATTTTTGAAATAAGTTAACTTTGAATCACCCTATTGCTTGAATTTAGCCAGAATAAGATCTTCCCTAAGACTTCTATTTCGCTTTCCTTCACATCTCTTATTTATACCCTACATACTATACAATTACGATATTACTAATTACATAGTTTATTTCCTCTATTATAGTCTCGTTATGCATAATTACTTTAGCTTGATCGTCTCTTTTACTTCGAGTTACCGTCATTCACGTGACACTTATCTCTTTTTTTTTATATTCGTATTAACTGTCTCTATTTGATTTACTTTACAAAAATCTATCAGAATTGAACTTGCTAAAAATTCGCTTTTAACAGCGCCGATAATGTACTATTAAATGCAAAATTTTGTGAATATTAGTACTTTTTTACTATATTTTAACTAGTTTATTGGGTATTTAAAGATGCTAATAATGAAATAATTTGTAATAAACTATCAAATTAGCTAACTTAGTCCACTTTACCTTGCTATTGACATATCATAAAATTTTTGGATTTATTGCAAAGTATCTAATTTCTTATTCGCATTGATTTTGCTTATAACAAGAATCTTTAAATTTTATTTAGAAGTAAATTTGTCATAATTGATTTGTTACTCAAAACTAGATATTCATTTTATTCGTTTCAATCTCTTTTTCCTCAAAGTTCGATATTTTTGATGATACCGCTATTGTTTCTTTCAATGGTTATATAGTATTGAGGGCTTCATCCAGAATGTTCTAAAGAAATGGATGTAAAATTTTTTCTTTTCATCATGTTGTAACAAAAAAACTGTGATCAGTGTATAAAATTCAAGCTTTGATTTATGTGCGCTAAATAAATAAAACTGAATATTGGACAAATTTCTATGTGCGCTATATATATAATTCTTTAAAATTTGTGTGCGGAAAGAAAACCTATGTGCGCAATTTTCTTGAACGTACGTTCAATTTTATATACTTGATAAAAATATATATATATAAAAGTGTTACTGTGTTACTTGTAGGAATTTTGAACTATCATTTCGATCACAAATCACAAGATCAAAGTAGGATTACTCACGTACGAACATATTTCAACGATCTTAAATAACTTTATTTTTGTTGTTTGATAATTTAATATTACTAGAGATGGTAAAAAAAAAAAAAAAAGAAACAGGTTGAAAGCATTGAAGTCTGATGCTAAACATTTTGCTAAAGCTGAAAATATTACCTTTGTTTGGTTAATTTTAATTTTCAGCCGAGAAATTTTTTTAAAAAAGATGGTACAGTATAATTTCGAATTTGTTAGATATTACTGTATTACATAAAAACAAATAAAATCAAAAAATAAAATAAAATAAATATATTTGATCGTTTTAACTTTATCAAAGTACTCATTACATTTTTAAATAAGAAATATTGCCTATCGACCAAATACAACCTTTCATTCTGTATTAGTTTTACTTTTGTTGATATTGAAAGTCCAAGGTTTTATACAGTATTACTATGTAAACCTCATTGAATAAGTTTTTGCGGATGAATTATTGAAGAACCAAATCCTGATACTGATCTTTTAATAAATTCTTATATTTCTTGGTTTTTTTCCATTTTAATAAGTGATTGTTTAATCGGTCAACTTAATCAATAGCCTTCTTTGCAAATATTACCGTATAAACGCGTAATAACGCGCAGGGACACGCTATTGCGCGTTATTTCAGGACGCACATGCGCGATAATTCGAATCACTATGCTAATTTTGGAAAAATAATTTCAGCTACTAAGAACTTTCTTGAAACATCATAATAGAATACAATATAAGGCGAATAAATTATAGATGCAGTGTTTAATCTTATGATAAATAGGTTTCAGATTTAGAGTTGAACCTAAGCTTATTATATTCAAACTTATTCTAAGATTCAAAATAGCACGTAAAGAAGATAATTTGGTGGATACGGGCGCGTTGTTTTGAGACGCGCATGGGCGTTATTTTGAGTCAAATATGCCATTTTTAAAAAAATTGAAA